AGATTGTCTGACCCACAACAAACAATATAAGCCATAAATCAAGCTATCTGCCTGTCAAGATAAATGGCACATCCCCCCCCACATATAACGCTGATAACACAGATACAGGTGGCGTTGGGTTCATCCCATTGTCCATAAATGGGGACGGTGTCACCAACAGATGGGGTTTCTCTTGTTGAGAACAAAGACACACATGGACACGCGCACACACATGAACATAAGTGACGACAAAGTGACTGATAGGTGCTTTTTTTTGTTTTTTAAAAGACGGGATTTGTTCTTGAGGTTGCAAATGCAGAGAAATTGTTGAAAAAAAACGAAAAAAAGACCCTCTCTTCTCTCCAAGAGTCGACTTCTTAGAGCTGGTTAATTACACACACACAGACTCACACTTGACAGGGAGCTACTCGCCGGTTGGTTGGCTGATTAACACTAGCTTGCTTGTGGTTGAGTGTGTTCCCATCATGCTGAGATTGCTGCAGCCTCTTGTTAACCCTCATTGTATGAAACAACCCAGTGGCTCACCTTCAAGCACTCTTATCAGCCTCTTGTTCCCAAACCTCTCTCACTATCAACAATTATGTCTGTGTACATGTGTGTGTTTGCGTGTCCTCCTGTGCGAGTGTGTATCTCTGTCCCTTCTCACTAGATAGGAAGTTAGCAGCAGCAGCTCCGAGAGTGCTCCAATATCCTCTCCCTCTAACCTGATTATTAATTACAGTCTGCCTCGAGCTGACCGCAGCCCAAACACTGTCTGGCACAGTTACCAAGGAGACTGAAACAAAGTCATTCACAAACAAGATTCAGTAGATTTAGCCACAGCACAGCAGTTGCTCAGTTTCTTAGTCTATTCATGCCTGCATCAGATGCAGCGATCAAAGTGTTTTAATCAGCGCCGATCAGAAGTTATCCAATCACATCATATCGGAGTAAAAAGTCTTAATGTCTCGTTGACGCCTCTCGCAAGTTTGGCATCGTCTCAAAAGCCCCACAACTCTCTAAACACTCAAGATGAAACCCATCATCTGGTTGCAAAATTGTAAGTTGATCAAAGCGTCTGTGTGCCAGAAAGTCAGTCATGCCTGAGCCGTTCGGCACTCAGCAGTAATCAACCTGGAGCTGTGCCTGCGGCGAGGCTGAGGGACATCAGTCTTTAAATGGGCTTCTGGCAATCAGCTGTGTGTGTGTGTTTGTGTGCTTGTAACACACTTGTGTTGAGATGGAGAGCAGATTAAGTACTTGCCAGCAGCAAAAATATGGCTTATAATGCTACAGGAGAGCGGACTGTGTTATTTTAGTACCGGCCATGCGGCGCTGTTAGCACTTACAGGTACACATACGATCAACAACACGTATGCAGTTGGATGTCACGCTTTTTGTGTAGCAAAAAACAGGTAAAGTCTGCAACAAAAATGATGTCAAATACTACTTAAGTGTTTTAGTTTCTTGCAACACAGTCAAATTTTTTACCCAAAAACTCTGTGTGTATACTAAATCTAAATATTGAAACCCCTTTTGTTCACATAAAACAATAGCAAGTCAGGTTTTTGATCGCTTTATTGTTTACATTTTTTGAAATTGTTTTTAAATGTGGAGTTCCTCTGGCACATTCTCTGAAAACCGTCAGTTTGTTGTATGTTTTTTATGATTATTTTGTACAAAAAAAAAACTCTGTACAATATCAATTTCTTTTTATATATACAAGAGTGAGCGCAATATCAGTATTTGTTTACTTATCGGTTCAATATCAGTATTTTCCCACTTATATAAAAAAAACCCTGTTGAATATTGTTACTTTCTACATTCAGTGAGATCTGTGCAACATGCCACTACTCTTCTAACCAAACAGATCAAACTGTAATAAATGAAACTTTCCCAGTGATTGCGTATGGGGAAACGCTTTTCACCCGTTTCACCATAAATTCTGGTCAGGTCTGTCAAGACAGTCTGTAGATATGCACAGACAAGGTGCACAATAGTGTCAAAAAGTCTGCATCAGAGCTCTTGACGGAGAGACATTCTTGATGCTGCAGGTTATTCGCAGAAACACGCATCAAAGTCCAAAGTCTGGAGATCGTAGACTGTGTTGAAATGCATTGGTTTGTTGACTTCACTCTGGAATTTGTCTGTCACGATCTTGCTCTTTTGAAACCAAATATAACAAATCTAACGACTGGTGGATCTGAGACTGCATACAGCAAAATGGTTGCAAACCTGTCAATCACAAGTTAGCCCCGCCCTACAACATACCCAACGTCATCGTCTATTTTACTGTAAAGGGGACCAGAATCTACAAAATCAACATCATGCTGAGTAAAAGGAGACTTGAAATTATGCATCAAGACTATGAACTCAACAGGTAAATGCTTATTGAGGTAACAAATCAAGGGAGAAGTAGGGTCATTTTCTCATAGAATTCTTAATGTACCCAGAGGAGTCGCCTCCTGCTGGCTGTTAGAAAGGATGCAGATTTAGGCACTTTGTTGTTGAACTGATCGGCGCTTACATCCATCATTTCTGTACTGTCTCTGTTAGGGATTGGTATTGGTTCTGTGTTTTCTACCTTGCAGTCTTCTTCTTTATTGTTTTCTGTCTTTGTGTAATAAGATAAGATAAGATAAGATAAGATATGCCTTTATTTATCTCACAGTGGAGAAATTCACATCGTTGACAGCAGCTTTCAACAGACGTACACAGATACGACACAGGAAAAAACAAAAAATTGCTCCCTAACACTCCTACTGGTCCAAAACTCCAACGCTTGACATTAGGAACCATCAGATCAACCAGCGCATACGGTGATTGCTACCATGATAATTTTGTTGCACATTGTTTTGGTGTCTGAGAAGATTTCTGAGCCACTGAAACTAGCAACAGAACCCACAACAAAACAACAACAAACATGCGAGAGGTTTTTAAGGGGTCAGTGGTTTGTTGAGTACCAGTCAGATGGTTAAATATGACCTCAAGAAGTTCAGTTTGAGCGACGGATCCGCAAGTTTAAAAGCAAATCAGATGCCAGAATATCACTATGAGTCAGAATTCCACAAGTTCAAGTTATTTTTTTTTTATCAAGCGATTGGAAGGCGAACAGAAGGAATACAGAATTCGTGTTAGAAAACCATGCATGCAAATATCTAACCGGCCAAGGCAGGGTCTCGCCAAAAACACTGCACTGCGTTTTACGAAAACCCAAGTTGAACTTTTCTACTATCTGTCTGGTCTTTGCTGTCTAGAAATGTGTGAATGTGTGTGTGTGTGTGTGTGTGTGTGTGAGTCTTTACCCAGGAGGAAAAGCCTCCACGTCTTTGAAGGATCAAGGGGTTATCTACCGTACTTCCCACAGTGCTTCAGCAAAGTTTCGATGGGCTGATTGAAAAATGGAAGAAGTTTTAATTCATGCTGCTGCTGAAATGTTGAACTCGCTCAGCAGGGCATGGGCAGCTTTTAAACAATCTTCTATTCCTTCAACTTTATCCAACGAGAAAATCACCTCAGCAAGTTTGCATCACACCCTTTGACGTTCTCCAAAGATAAGCTTATGCAATTGTAGGAAAGAGGAAGAAAACAGCTCATCGGAACATAATTTTTGATTCACTCGACTTGCCAGAGTGGGGAATTTGCGTCTTACAGAGCTAAATTAAATACTGTGACCATATTAGCTGCTACAGAGATGATGCCAAACCAAATTTAATTGTATTTTTTGTACAATGACAATAAAGCTTCTTCTTGTTCTTCTTGTTCTTGTTCTTGTTCTTCTTCTTCTTCTTTTTCTTCTTCGTCTTCTTCTTCTTCTTCTTCTTCTTCTAAATAGGTATTCAATGGCACAACTACATATTTAAAGCTCACAATAGAGCCTTTGGTGATGGCACAAAAGCAAAAGCTCAGGTCGTAATAATAACATTAATCGTGGTCCTGTTGCGTCGACATGTTCACTAAACCGTGCAAAACGTCTCCTCTAATGCGGAGTTTTTGGGTGGGTAGCAACTCTTGCTGTTGCAGTTTGTTCAATTTTATGACGTGACCACCTTGTCAGACACGACTACGGCGTCTGTTTTCCTCTGTAGGTTGTTTTACGTGGCTTTGAAAAACGCACATGAAAAGAGGAGCTTCTCTGACCTTGTCGAGTTGCCTCACTGAGCCGGCTGCTATTAAAACGACTACTCTGAGATGCTGCCGTTGCAACTTTGATTTCGTTGCTTCAAAGTCATTTTTCATGTTCATTATCTGCCCCCTGTTGAGTTTGGAACAGAGGATAGTCAAAACCAATATGCTTCTAGTAGGGGAAGAGGGTGGGAATAATTGATGATGGTGGGGGAGGACAATGTAAGGGAAGCAGATTTGGTTAATTTAATCACTCCTTTAACAGTTCTTTCTTTTCTGTCCACTAGGCGGGGCGGATTGAAGTGTCCCACCGACTTATCTGTACAATTATATCTCCACATCGTGACAGATGGGGTGAGGGAGGGGGGAGAGATTGGGTCTCCCCTACTGGTTTAGGGGGATTAAATGCTTGAAACTGGGGAGGCAAACGCTGATTTAGAAAAGTGGGAGCAATATATGGAGAACGTGGGGTACGGAGCTGAAGGCAGACTGCAGCTGATTGGCTACGCCTGCCAGCCAATGGGTGCAAGAGAAGAATAAAGTGACTCCAGTGGTGATTAGTAACTATTGTCTAATAGCGGCTGGGGGAGGGGACTGATGAAACACAATTAATATGTTCTGCAGAGCACGTTGGGGTTTTGCTGCATGAATAGAAGGAGCAAATGGACGTTAAATCAAGGCACAAATACATACACATGAAAAAGTGTTTATTGAAAATCAGAAATATGCTCCACTTGTCCGTTTTCACATCAAATGCATGTTAATGTGTATTCTTTTACATAGTAATTAACATAACATACAAGCAGGAGTAGCTTTTTATCTCCATTCTCTGTCCTACTTTTCTGATTTCAGATCCTTTATTTCATCGCTGTGTGTTTTTTTTTCTTCTGCATCTCTTAAGTTTCCTTGGTCCTCTTCTGGACGAGGTAGCTGCGGTAGTAGAAGTTGCTGAAGAGAGCGATGAGGCTCAGAGAATAGGCCAACACGACCGCGTTCATGGAGTCGGGGAAGTTGCAGTCTGCAAACATGTTGTAGGTGGTGTGGATGGTTACGATGAAAAACTGGAGCTGTAAGAGAGAAGATAGAAAGTGGTAGATTATGTGAGCATTTTGGGTGACCAGAAACTGGGAAAGATGTTAATAAAATATGAATTGAGTGACCAAAACTGATGGTAAACACAATAACACAGTGGAAGACAACACTGAACCCTAAATAAAGACACATGTTCATCAAAATAAAACTGGCATAGAGGTTTCTGTACTGTACTCATTATCAGAGGTATGCAAAAATCTGTTCATAACTGATAAAACTATACTGACTCCTAAAAATGACACTCAAACTAAGGATATATGATGATAGCAATCTTCATTGGAGGAAAAAAAAAAAGCTGAAAAAGACATTAGTGTCTGTCTGTCAAGTCAAACTGATGTGACACTAATTTCAGGTAAGATAATGTCACAGCAAACGTGAAGAGAGAAATAAAATTGTACAGTACGAATATAGCCTAATTTAGCAGCACGAAATGGTTTGGTTGCGCTTCATTATCATTGTGCTGTTGGGTGGGGGGGGGGACGCCCTGGTCTGTTTGCATTTCTTTAAACCAATCACATGTTCCCCTTAAAATAACAATGGGGAGATTGTGTTGGTGGAACATTTGCACTCAGGGATGTAAGAACTGTGATTGAAATGGTTAATTAACCAAAAAAAACTAGCACGGTTGCCTTAATGCAAGATCCAAATTCTCAGGAAAATCTGAAACTGTCAGTGTGGCAGGTTGCTGAAGTGAAATGGAAAACATATAGATAGCATAAGAGGAGAAAGCTGAGTGACATGCAGCCAATGGCAGGCTCATACCTGTAGTCTACATCTGGGGAGTCAGACCAGAATGAACATAATACAGAAAGAAAGGGTTTAACAACCACATTGTGTTTTGCAGACATCCACAGAGGAGTTTGTTGAACCCCAGCAGACACTTGTGTACTCACAGATAAGACTGGTTTAATAGTTAGGAGGAGTTCACAGAGAGTTTTTCATCTCTTAAGATCCTCTGGAATAATGTAGTCATCCACGTACTCTCTACTATCATACTGAATTATTAAAGGTACATTAGAAAGCTTGTACAACATTATTTTTGTTATTATTGTACTTACTCAAGCTAATTATGACGAATACGGCAAATCAGATTGTTAGTGTGAGACAAAGGAGGGATTCTTGAGGACCTGCTACAACCTAGAAAAGCTTGTGCCGAGCCCAGTAATACAACTCATTTATAAAAGCTAATGATATCGCATTCTAATATATATTTTGATATAAATATAATAATGACAAAATAGTTTTTAAAGGCAGTATGATCAGCTGGAAGTATACGTGTGAGTAGATTCCTTGTTTTTCAGGTCGAGATGATTCTTTCACCGTCTCAGAGTCCTTCTGTTTTATCAAAGTAACACATTTTACAGAAACTAGTTTCACTCAGTCAGTGATAAAAGAGCAAGTATGCTACCAGGCAGCATCAGCTTTACATCGGCAACAATGGTGTTTGTTTCTTCATTTTTTTTAAATAGAAAAAAAATAGTTAGACAACACACCCAAATAAAAGCACTAATTTAGTTTTTTTTTTAACAAAGTATCACTGTGCAATGCTCAGCTACAACCATCATAACATATACTGCAGACTGATCTATATGCACATGTTCCATAGAGTCACGATACCATCCAGGAACCAGACAGGAACTGAGTATTAAAGAACGTTGTGCACCAAAATGTTCATCTGTCTCCAGTCCACACCCACCTCCTCTCACAGAAACACACACACACACACACACACACACACACACACACACACACACACAATCACATCAGATCAACCATCTCAGCTTCAGTTCACTAAATTGTGAAGTGAACTGTTAATGAAGGCTTGGGGGGTCAGTTCTGAGGTCATTACAATTATTGTAACCGAATGACAGAATGTCAGCCACCATACTGACCTATATATGCTGCAGCCAGATAGACAGAAGAAGGAAACACTGCAGCTTTGTCTCTACAAGTAGAAAAACAGATGGTCCAGCAGCTAGCTGAGGAGCATCATTGCCGCTAATCCATCTAGTTATGGCAGCAGCCAGTCAGAACAATGGCAAACCACCTGGGAGGCCTGCGTGTTAAGCTAATCAAAGCTGAAGTTTTTAAGACATATCCACTGTCCGTCCATTATCTGTACACCAGTTTATCCTGTGGAGGGTCGCTGGTGGACTGGAACCAATCCCTGCTGGTTTAGGGGAACAGACATGGTACACCCTGGACAGATCACCAGTCTGTCGCAGTGGAAATATACTCAAGAAAAGGAAAAGATTTGCCATCGGTAAACAATATAGGCTGCATGAAGGATGTCAAAGCAGAGCGGAGACGTTCACTGTCTTCATGCTACAAACAGACTCTTTGCTAAACAAGCAGAATTATGCTCAAACATAAAAGAGAACTAAACAGGCAAAGAGGTTATCGGCACTGCTCCCAGTAGACCACACATAGGAAAACTGCCGTATTTTACTCTGGTGCAACATCAAGGGGTTCACGTGAGTTACGAGTATTTTGAATAATTAAAAAGTCTCATTTTTTCCTACATATACAAGAATGTGTCCAATATTAGCATTTCCTATAAATGGAAGAATAATTCTGTGCAACACCAGTATTTTCCTACATATAGAAGAATCTGTACAATGTGAACAATACATGTCTGAATAATCATGTATATTTCTTATTTTATATTTTTGCAGGACGTCCCTACATGTTTGTCCTGTCGCCTTTGCTGTTACAGCATTGCAAATTTCCCCACTATGGAAGGCTTATCTCATTACCCATCATATAAAACAGGTAAATAAATAACAGTCATTTTCAGAGGGCCATACTGACCAGCTGCAGGGAGGTGAGGTACCGTTTCCACCACAAATATTTGGCCATGTTCGGTCCCAGAGCCGCCAGACCGTAGTACAAATACATCACCACGTGGACCAGGGAGTTAATCAAACCTATCAGGAAGGCTGGACAGACACACAGGATGACATGTTATTTTCATGCAGTTTGTGTCAGTACGTTTTCTGTCACGTGACACAATTTGCATAACATTTGCCAAGACGGGGCTGGTGGGTTGCACTCACACTGGCCCCCAGCCACATATTTAACCCCGGCCCACCAGTTGAAGATCATGGTGGCGTGATGGTAGACATGGAGGAAGGTCAGCTGACTGTTCTTCTTCCTCAGGATGAAAAACATCTGGAAGGAAAGCATACAGAAAGATCTCACTTAACATGGAGTTACAGCATTGAATGTAGCTCGTTCTAGTTTTAAATAACAAATGGGACACTTAAAATTCACAACTTCTTTTTACTCTTTTTGTACTCACGGTGTCACTGAGCTCTATAACTTTGGAGAAGTAGAACCACCAGCACACTCTGGCCATCTGTCCAGCACAATTAAAAAAAAAAAAAAAAAAGTTATTCTCCGGCTTTTGTGCTCCACTGCTAGGAAATTATATCACAACATCTGGTTTCTGCAGCATGAAAGAGTTTCACTGTGGTTCAAGTTGGAGATAGAAAGTCAAGCTATGTGTGTAATTTTAGTGTACACATTTTACACTGTGCATTTCAGTCATTGAGCCAAAATGACATTACAAATGTACCTCACAAGTTTAAATATTGCACTTAACACCCTACAAGATTATATGCTACAACTCATTTATGTAACACCTGCAAAAATATACAGACAAACAATAAATCCAGAAATCCACTTTGAGGAAAGAACTTGACATCAACATTTAAACAGATATATTTAGAAGGTTGCAGTTGCGTCTATAATGTCAGCATGGTCTAGTCCACAGTGTGTTTGGAGTGCAGTTTCAGAGCGGGGTCTTATGGAGAAGGTGTTGCATAAGGAGGCATATAGTGAAACAGGTTTACCCTCATGGCCACTGGGCTGTCGCTGTAGTCGACTGGCTGGCACAGCAGACTGTATCTGGCCAACCAGGACGAGGCTGTGAACTGGAAAGACAGAAGCTGCTTTCATCTCTGCTTTGGTTTCTCTCACTAAGCAGAAGGACCTTTCATCCTATTTTGTCCAACACAAATTGGCTGTGAATGAGTGAAATCATTTCCTTTTTCAGCTGGTGACTCCCACAAGGGACAGGACACATGAAACAGATTAAAACAGATGTAAATGACAGGGGTTTTTTTGTTTAGCCACTTGGGGGCAGTACAAATCAACTATGAACACGGTTGATAGTGAACCTGCACCAGTTTCCGATTTTCCCATCGAGCAGATGTTTAGTTGAAATCGTCTTTCCTTGAATCACACCATTTGTCTAGCTCTAAAACTTCTAAAATCCACACTATGTTCACTAAATATTTGCACATTTCTGCCATTTGCTGCCAGGCAAAGAGTGTACAGCAGATTTTAGAGCATGTTCACGCCTCTTGTAGCTAAAACAAGGCTATGAGAGCTCAGAGACTCAACCAAAACAATGAACTGAAAGACGCTGTAAAACTTTCCAAAGTTAATGGGACCTGAAGAATCTGGTGATGGTTGATTCCCAGCAGGTTTGTCATGATGACCAACCCCGTTGACATTTTACTTCATTTTATTCATTTTTTTAAACTAATAGAGCAGCTTTCAAGAGAAAAAATAAAGACTTCTAAAGCTCCTCAAACTTTGAGACCCTCCATTCTTTGTTTCATTCTATATGTTAAAAACTGCTTGGAGGTTACTGACATGCAAATATTTTAAACTTTTAAACTATATTACCCTACACTTGTTTGTTTTCAGCTTCTATGGCAACCAGCTGCCCATCTTCCTCCCTGACAAAGGTTCCCTTCATATAGTACAGTAATTACCTCATAGAACATGTAGGCAGACAGGCAGACCATGGCAAAGTTGTAAACTATCAGCACTGGTTTAAGGTTGACTGGTTGCCTCTTGGCCATCAGCTTTGGCCCGACCCATATAATGACCAGGTAGCTCAGGAAGATGCAGGTAATTGGCACAGGAGAGTAGACCAGCAGCCAGCTGTCTGTCCTTTTGTCTACGGAGAAAAAAGTGGGAGAAAAGCTCAGATTATAGGAAACAAGATGCTGATGTCTGACATAAGTATCTAGCATCATATACATAATTGAAATGCTGTTTTAATTATATCGATGAACTATAAATTAAAACTTGCCTCCATTTTCCAGAATCCCCTGGTAGAATAATTGGACTTTCTGCCACATGGTGAGAACCGGAACCTGGACCTGGAAAGACACAATCAAAAAAAAAAACTTTCATTATCTAGTAAGTGCAAAACTGAGCCAAACCCAGTGACTTGAGAGTCGTACAATTTAAGAAATGGCTGATATGATAAGTCTCTCAAGTACAGAAAAGTGGCAAAATACCCAATTCAATTTTAGAGTAATGGAAACCAGGGGTTCCATTACCTTCAATGGTGCATTGGTATTATATCATTTCTCCACAAACAATTCAGAGCTCGCTTCAGTGGCTGCCTCCCATCTGACAAAAGCAACCACAGTTTGCCAGGAGTGCTGAAGTTGTCGTAACAATCTGGTTTGCCGTCTGTGGCAAAAAGAATATCAGTTTGGTTTGCCATTGACAGCATTTCTGACTATATATATATCATCAGGTTTCCACAAAGTTAGCCAGACATCAACCGACACAAATCTAATTTGCATACTTTAAAATGACCTTGCTGCGAATTTGTGGCAACATTCCCAAAGATTACCTACAACAGGTTACCAGGAAGAAAAAAAAAAAGACTTCCCTTGATTCAGAATTGTTTCAAGAAAAACCTGGTTTCACAACTGTGGTACAGCACAAAGGCCCAGATGAGAGACAATACTCCTTACAGGAAATTCTGCAGAATTCCCAGACATCTGGGGTCGCAGTTACACAAAGAGCTGATGTTGATGCTGGCAATTGTTGACTGTATCCCATTGCTGCCTCTAGGTCTGATTCATACCCTATTCCCTGCTTTGAAAAGTTCTTGATTGGAAAAAAAGTTTGTCAGTGACTTGACCTGTGTGAAAGTAAATAGAAGGTTGCTTTAGCCCTGGAGACAAACGAACTGACAGCCTTCAAAACACCTTCTGGATTGTTTCAGTTCAAAGTGTCTGGTCTTCAGAAAGCACCAGGGCACCAAGGACCAAAGGACATTCTCATGGACCAGATGTCCATGGTGGTGTCAGATTTTAATATTTCATATCCAGATTATCTGATCAAATTGCCGACCTTCACCATCAATCCTCACAAATGTATGTACAGAGACAGGCGGAGTACCGGGGCTGTGTGCAATGAACCAACTAGTCAGCTGTAAGTTTGGGAAAGTGGACGCAATCCATGTACATTCACAACCAAGAAGTAAGAGCGTGCTTTTGTGGAGTTACTCAGTTATTACCATAAGGGAAGCAGCTCTTACTGACTTGCTGAAAGCCTTAGCACCAGATAAGGTTGTCCAGACTAAGGGCTGAAGGTAGCCATCTCAACTGACTCTGTTCTTCATCGTCCTCACTCAGCCATTCATACTGCAGACAGAGGCCTCTGGGATGAGTACTGAGGCCGTGCTGCTGCAGGATGTAGATAGAACAAGATGCTCATTGGTTTTCCTCAGCTGGAAGCTTCATGACAGAGAGATTAGGAACTCTACAATGGAAAAGGAGCATCTTGCGATGACGAGGGCTTTGGAGTCATTGCAATGCTATCTCTTGGGTCGACACATTGTCCTGAATATAGATCATAGTGCTACACCACATGACTGACCCAATATGCAAATTGCAAGATGGTACGTTTTGTAACCTAAAGGCTTCAGAGAACAGTATTTAGAGGGGAAGTCTGACCTGACAGCTGACTTTTTCCTGCACAAATGAAGACTGAGGGACTGTAGTCTTGGGGAAACAGTAATGAAGACCAGGGATTCCATTACCATCCCTCATTTTACTTTGATTTGTATTTACTTTATTTTACTTTTTCTTACTCCTGTATTCATTTGCATTGTGTTTGTTTGCTGTTGTGCATTGTTTCTGTTGCTACTGTTATGCCTTAATGCTGTGTTCTTTTACCACCGCATTGAAACTGTGAAAGGTATCCTGCAACCTTCATCAGAACCAGATAGTAAGTAAAAGAAAAGTCTTCTGGAAGAAGTTTATATGTGTTGAAAATTCATCACAGGAAAAGTTTAGATCGTTTATTCGGAGGAGAAAAAGGCATGTGTAAAACTGAAATAGCTGACTTTTTTTGCAGCATGTGGTATTTTGTGTGTCCGTAAACTGTACCCTCCTCAAAGGTCTTACGTAAACGAACACCCCACTGCAAATTTGATTAAGCCATCCGGAGATGATCTGGATTATAATTCAAGGATTACGTTCGCTAATCCAAACGTATCTGTTGATAATGGATAATAACTAATAATCCTCTTGATGAATGGCTGCCTGATGTGGACGACAGGGTGATGAATTTTCAAATACGATTAACGTGGAACAGTGCTGCCATCTAGTGTTTGAGGATGAAAGCTTTGCATAGAGCAGGTTCATTCCTCCCTCCTTCATCTCTAGTAGTTTTCAGACGGAGCTAAATTCACATATTTATTCTGGTGGCTTTTGTTAGGACTTGAACTCCCTCTGGTTTGCTTGGTCTTGGTTGAAACTGTAGAAACACCTTTCATGAGAGAAAACAGGTACATCTTGAGACTCAGCTATTTATTCAGTGTTAAATTAAATCACCTAAAATTGTCTGTCCCCTCTTTTAACTTCTATAATTTTGGGGAACATAGACGTACAAACAGCCCGTCGTTCTTCTTGTCACGTGTTCTTTAGCAGTCTTGGTAATTACCCCTCTCCAAGTTAAAACATCTCAATTCAATTAAAAAGTCAAATTTAAATAACTTGCTCCAAAGGAATCTTTGCAGTTGCTGAGTTACTCTCGGTAATTTCATAAGGTCTTTAGTATTCCACGTAAAGTGCTTAGAGGTTACGTAAATAAAACTGAACAGAACGCAATTCATTTGGAGATTAACTCCACTCGCTCTCCTGATTTCAGCGTCCACTTTAACACCACCGTTCATCCACCAGTTTGTGTATACGTTCAATCCACAGTTCATAATATCAAACACACACAGTCTTTTTCTTTTCTTTTCTCGCTGAGTGCAAGTGAAACCACTCTGTCCTGTGTTAGCAGAAGCAGCATGTTGTGTGGACAGAGCTAAGCAGTTAAGCCTCACCTGTAGCCTTAGTAGGATTTAAAGAGGAAAATCCCCAACAGGACAAGACTCCTACAAACTGCTGAGGTTTGAAATAATACAGGGTGTAAATTATTATAAATATATATATATATTTGTCGGACCAGAAACATTGCAATAGTTTAAAAAAACTTACAGCAGTGCACCCTATAAATTGGTATAATTATGACAACAGACATTAACCACAGCTACCAATAGTGCATAATAAGAATCCACTTTGTACTCAACCAATGTTTTGTCATTTCTTAGTTGTATTAACAATGATTAACTGTTACCTTCATTCTGATGGCAGATGGTTGTGATTTTCCTCCTCAAATCTCTCCTCAGTCAGAACATGCTGCATCTCAGTCATGTCTTGAGCAGCACTGAGGTGATCAACCTGCGCTCTAAGTGACATATGGCAGCGTGTACTTAGCAGCCAAACCCCAGCTAATAGTGTAATTTAGAGCGCAAACAAATCAAACTATAAGAAATTCCTGATCGTGCTCGAGAGACATTTGAATAAGTTGATTATAAAATAAGTATAATATGCTAGAAATATTCAAATTTTGACTTTATAGAGGATAAAAAGAGACATTACCTCCCCAATTAACTAACTACACAGGCTACGGACGTAAAAGTTAATATCAGCTTTATTGTTTTTAGAGGTGAAATGTAATACAATTTTACATGTTTCTGCTTTTAAAACCAAAACAACAGTCTAGAAGTTTATTCTACATTCAGAGAATTCATGAGAAGGAAAGTGAGTAACACAGAAAACATGCAAAAGTAATTAAAAGTGTGTGTTAATGGTGTAAAAACTGTTTTTTTGCATCCATGAAATAAAGTGAATCCAAGCAGGAGAGTTGGATCTACTCTAAACAGTAACCTGACTGAGGTTTGCTCTGCAGCGATGGACACCGTCTTGCGTCTCCGTCTGGATGAAAATAACTCCAGAGTCATCCCATCTCTCCGCACACATCCATCTACAGCCTCCTGCTGGCAGGTTTTACACTGTAGACTTCATTAATGGGAGACGACAGGCAGACCCGGTTACTTTATCCACACGGAGACGCATGAAGTGTGGAAACGGCAGCAGAGAAACCACAGTCTGATCACCGCTTCGGAGAGATCCAGCCGCTCTGTAAACTGCATATTCTAAATCCAAGACACTTTGTCAAACATCAAAAAATGAGTGATTTGATCTCAACTAAATAAAGAAGCAAAATAAAAGCACTAGAAATTTCACTGGCATATTAGTTATCCGTCCCACTATTATCAGTGTGGTTGACAGGCTGGTGAGGATGAGGATGATGATGATGGGGAAGAGGATGATGATGCTGAGGATGGGAGTGGTGATGCTGATGATGATGATGAAGAGTTTTATTCTGATTTGCATCATGCTGGTGTTGGGGCTGATCCAGATGTTGGTGCTGCTGGTGGCGGTGGTGATGATGATGGTGATGATGGTTGTCGTGGCGATGAGCCCCCGTCGGAGCTGCCACATCTGGATCATCGGTGGGCGCCGTGGTTGTCAGGTTGACATTGAGTTGAGTTGTGCTGTTTTTTGTGACGTTGTTCCAGGAAGTAGAATTAGACTGGAAAAGATAAATATGACACAAACATCCTCAGTGGCATCGACTTGAAGCTGCTTTTATTTTAGCCACTTGGAAGCAGCAGATCAAACTGAGAATTTTGACATATTATCTTATCAAGTGCTAGTGCTTACAAGCTAATTGCTAACTAATAGCCTGCTGTGTGGTGCAGAATGCAGTGCTTTCTCTGTCAATCATTCAATGAGGTCATGAAGGTGCAATCTGAGGCCCAACGATGAACTAAAAAGGGCTTAAAAAAAAAAAGTTTGTCACTGTGAGCACACACATTCATTTGACCCACTTTTAATAGAAAAAAATATCCACGAGAGCAGCTTTAATTTTAAGAAGTGTAATTTTGTGTTTATGTTTGATTGCACCAGGCATTCATAGCAAACCGTGAGAATCTGAGGTGCTGCTATTCACAACCATTTCAGAAGCGTTCGCACGTGTGTGTTTGTGTGTGTCTTTAATGTAATTACTCACCGTGCAATTGCAGATATTTTTCATGTAAGTGGCTCTGATTGCTGCCTCGACGTAGGGGTAATGCAGGAAGCTGTAAGGCAGCACGATGTGGAAGGTGAGGAGACCACACCTGCAGGAAACGAGGAGAGAGAGAGAGAATGAAAATGTAGATAGAAATCACTGCAGTTCCTTATTTTTGTAAAATGATGCACATGGATGTGGCATAGTTTGGTTTTTATCTAAGATTGTGACTCAGCACTACATTTACATAGTGAGATAAGGCCTAGTTGTGCTTTTAAAAGACTATAATCAAGGGATTGATGGTTGGTTGAATGCATCACTAATACATGTATACTAAGTCTTATCAGCCCTCCTTGTTTTTGTATGAAACTTGCCAGTGATTTAATCTAAAGATGAAGCCAGCCGTACCTATCATAGACCAGGAAGTCATCTTTATCCCCGTCCAGAGCCTCCCACACGTCATTTTGCAGAGGAGTCTGCTGATAAACAGGGACTCCAGGGGGCGCTCTCCTCTTCAGCTCCCAGTACATGGCTCTGGAAATGGCCTCCCGCTCGTTCACTATCATGAAGGACACCTCCGTCAGGTTGCTGCGGTTCAGCTTGTCACGCAGGCCTCCGATCCTACAGACGGACGCAGAGAGGAAGTCGGGAATTATGTTACCTCACAGCTAATCCGGACAGGAAACGGTGCACGAGGAGCTCTTAAAGGCCACATCATCCACCTGACCAGTGATGCTTTATATTGGAACAAAAAATAAATTGGAGATGTCATGTTGTGATTAATTTGTTTGTGATTCACAGTTTCTGCTTGAGAGAGTTTGCAAATGCGCTTGACTTTACAGATCTTCACCTCACGTATTAAAGAAATAACAGTGTGTAAGTAACAGAAGGTTTGATGATTTAACTAAATTTGTTAGCTTTACCCATGAAAAGCTAACAGAAAGAAGCTTACAGAAAAAAAGCACCATATATTCCTGTACATCACTTCTGCACTGAGTGTGCAGCAGCAAATCTGACCAGTAATGCTGCATTTGGGTGTCTTTCTGCAAGCACCGACGTTGCACCTAGTGAGTTATAAAATGCACCTTTTTGTCGTTCTATCGCAGAGCAGAGCTGTAAACACAATGTAAGATCTGCTGCATGTTTTATTATTATCACAAGGTTTATGCTTTTGTGACTTTAATCCTGAAATAGCTGGCAGAATGTCTATATTCTCACAATACAAAGTTCCTTCATTTTTGTAGTTTTGATCATGAAACTTCTTCATGGCAGTTCTTTTGTTGTTGTTTTTTTGTTGTTTTGAACTTTTGCAAGATTATTCTTAATTTTCACACATGGTCAGATTCATGTTTTAGCTGGACTACTGTCATAAACACTAAATGCATCACTGCTCCATTCCTCTTCATCTCTGACAGTCTTACTTGGATGCCTGAGTGAGGCAGAACTGTCAGCTGGCCTTCAGCAGCGCCACCACCACCACGTTTCCCAGCAGCTCCTGCATGGGTGCCTGTCCCTTGATGTCCCAGTGGGGGGCAGGTTTGCAGATCCTGGAGGCGTCATTGTCCCCCTCCACAAACAGGGTGCTTTGTGAGGCCCACAGCAGACCTGGCAGGGCCGTGAACAGCCAGAGAGAACGCATTGTCCCTCCTTGGCTGCCTGGACTGAATCTACCTGACAAGAAAGATACGTGTAATAATCCTTGTTTATTTTGGCCAAAGAGAACTTTGCATGTTTCACAAAGAAAGATGTAGCTATCAACAAAGCACAGCAAATTTTTTTATATAGCTTTGTGGCGCAGAAGAGGATAAAGGCTTGTTTTTGTTTGCGGTCAGTGGACTGGAGGCAGCACGTGCAGACTGACCAGTCTGGGATTCAGTCGTTGGCAGGTTTCCCTCCCCGCCCACCCTCAAAACCAAATGGCCAGTCGGTCTGATCCCAAAATAATTAAAAGAGTAAACCCTCATTGTCTCTCTCATCACATGTGGAGATAATCTGCAAAAAGAGTTTATTATGGGGTAAGCAGCCAACAGACAGAAGAATGTCGGGGGGCAAATGGACAGACAGGCTGGCAGCCACCGAGACAAAGAGAGGCCGAGACAGAGATGCTTACAGACACGACCTGTACTGTCTGAACCGACGCAATCTGGAGCGCTGTTTGTCCGATAACTACGGCTTTTTTGTCTTCTTTTTTTGTATTAGAATTCAAACCTGATTTCGTCTTAAAAAAACAACCTCACAGCTCCAGTTTTACCAACACAAAAGCTGGAATTTGTGTCCCTATGAGCAGCAGCTGCCCACTGAACTCAATTTATAGTAAATGCTTCAAAGTGCACATGCAAAATTGAAACTAACTTTAATCTAAGAGCACTCATAAAACACCCAACGACAAATTAAAATGCAAGTCCAACAACAGCAAGCGGTTAACATGTTCAGCATTTAAAATATATATTAACGAGGATAAAAACACTGATCTGAGCTCCAACAGAAAGCCTTACCTCGGTCCTCCCTCTGTCCTGTGACCCACGCAGACAGTAAAACCCTGTTGTTTTTAAAGCCTTTGAGGTTCACTAAGCACTTCCCCCAAATCAAACAGAAAGAGAGAGGGGGAGAGAAAGGGAGCGAGCGAGAAAGAGAGAGAGAGTCGCAGTGTCGAAGGACTGTAATTTGAAATCAACACTGCAAATCGGGCTTAAAAAGTGGCTTATAATAAGTTTAATTGACATTTTTGGGGGGTTTATTTTGTCCAACTTTGGTAAAAATCACTGATTATTTTAATACAGTATTATTTTTGTTCCATTATCTAGTGGAATATGTCAACATGTGCTACTGTAGAGGTATTTAGAGGCATTCACAGTCCCCAAAGGATAATGATTTGGTTGTCATCTGACTTTTCTTCTAGCTGGACTATGAGGACGACTCTTTCGGTATTGACGGAAATGTTTATCCGACTCCTGAATGGACTACAATGATGTTGGGTAATTATACTTGTAGTCCCCAGAGGATGAACCTTCATAAACCTTGAGCCATCTGACATTTACTCTGGTAACACCATGGGTTGCAGCTGGTTTCCAGCTTCAGCAAAACCAACAACACTGTACTTTGTGTTGACCATCAGACGTCAGCGTGCTAAGATGCTCCGATAAGCCCGCTGACTGTAGTAAACATTAGACCTGCCATGTTTGCGAGCTGTGCCTACATTTGTTTATATGCGCTATCGATCTTATTACTGAACAACACTGACTGTACTGCGTGAGCCAGGCTTTGGACTGTGTAGAGGTGAACGCCACCGTAGCAAACAAACCCACGGCTCCATTTTTGAAAGAAGCTAAAAAAAAAAATCAATGACAATCAGTAGGAGAAGGTCGCAGCGACAGATGTTCTGCAAAGACTTGTTATCGGTGAAAGGAGCAGGAATGGAAACCCCGCTGCATGTGTGTCTTGTCAAAGCTATCTTCTATTTATTCGTACATCTTCGCAAACCTGAAGGCAGCGTTTATCTCGCGTTGTCTTTCCATCACGGTTCAACTCGGGTAACAAGGCAGCTGCAAAGCAAATATCTAATCTGTCATGCGAGTGATTTGCTCAAAGTCCAACCTGAGTCAAAGTAAAAATGCAACTCTTTGTTTTATGCAGGGAGCCGATAACACTGAGATGACACGTGATGTGATAGTATTTAGTTACTACTCTGGTGTTTGAGGAGAGTCGTGGTGTGCTTTCATTTCAGTTCTAATGAAACCAGAAGGAAGAACGGCAACAATGCTGGTTTATCTGCTCCTCCTCTCCTTCACACGTTAACACACAAAGAAAGAAAGAAAACAGGTCATTCATTCACTTTATTTCCCCGTAATGTCTTTGTTTTGGATATGGAAAAGCCACATTTCACACCTTTTGTGGTCACTACAAATACACTGCAAAACTGAACAGACAGAGTAAAGGGTCAAATTCTCAACCAAATGACACATAAATTACATTCCATCTTTTCTTTTCCTGCATAGGCTGGGCTCAAGCTACAGGAGTTTTAAAATTCAGAGGGAGCAGTGCACCGCATCATGTGATCTCACGGGGAAGCAGATGTAAACAAAATGGAGACCGTGGCGCAACAACTTGCTGTAACACTGATGAGGAAATGCTTGGAAGACGTAGTCAACAGGGTTTGTCTATTAACAATGAGAGCTGGAGGGGAGCTACAGATGTTAAAACCGGCGCTGACATTGGTCACAAGGGCAAGAATGTATGATCAGAGTTTCAATCTGGATCTGTAAACAGTTCTCCTCCAACTGCCATCGAGGGTGAAATGGAGGTAAATCGGTCTCCTGTAGCGTGAGCCCAGCATTACCAATAGATTTCAGAACCTTCTTGAAAAACAGTGAAAGCTTCAGTTGTGCAAACGTGACCGAAATGAGCTACAGAACCAGGGATTTACAATAGGAGAGGTATTTGAGCCCAGAACCCAGAGATAACATTTAACCCTCTGAACCCCAAAACCTGCTGTCGGTCCTTCAGCCAATCATGTGCGACGTCTGGTTCCAGTGAGAAAATGAACCACATCTAAGCTTAAATGTTGGATGTTTTATCAAAATTGACTGAGCTCCTTAACGCAACTGTGAAGCCACGACTGACTCAGCTGCAACCAACAGTCATGTGACCAAAGTTCTGTGAATATTTGGCTGAACAGCAGGTTGTGTTTACACAAAATAGATATGTGACAAGTCTGGTAAAAAATTAGAAATGTAGTAAGAGTGGTGAAATATCTTCAGCATGTAGAGCAGCGGTCCCCAACCTTTTTTACACCACGGACCACTTTCAAGCAAGACAATTCTACGGATCGGTCATTGCGCATATAACAAGTAATATAAATTTTTTCCCTATGAAAAAAAGTGTCATAAACAAATAAAATTACGCTTTATTGCTAAATATGTATATACTTTGTCTTCTGTCTCAGCATCGATTAGTTTTATTTATGTATTTTGGCGGCTTAATTTAATGATCGGGCTTTAAAGTCGAGTGCGAGAAACAAGCACAGGTGGAAGTGACGAGAAGACAAGCTCGTAATTTTTCAAAATAAAACACTGCAGACTGCCGTAAAAAACAAAACAAAGCAAAAAAACAATAAAACGTTTTCATTCTTTCTGTGCGGCCCGGTTCTGGTCCACAGCCCGATGGTTGGGGACCGCTGATGTAGAGCCTTCATTTTCTCTGGGCTCCAGGGACTTTGTAAAATAATACAGGAAAATAAACTATCAGAACCTTATGTTGCAGTGAAAAATGAGCCCACAGTGAGTAAAAACATGATGGGAGCAAAATAAGACCCAGAAACTGCTCAGGGTTCAGCGGGTTATATGTAAATATCATCAGACATTTGTCCCAGTTTGCATTACACACATTGTGATAAATGTTTTTACTGACAAAATAAAGCCTGCATCATGTATCAGGAACAGTCAGAGCATACCTCAGCCAGGATCTGCTCTCAGCACACTTAAATACTCTAAAAACTAGCTTTACTTGTGCATGTAAACAGTCAGTGAAATACTTGCTGAATCAGCTGTGGGACACTTAATGAAACATTTTAAATTGATCAGGTTTTGTGCAAATTATTTGCCCCCCACCCTAAATTACAGTCTGCATTGTCATAGGCTACATGGTACACATGCTTCTCTCACATGTTCAAGCTCATATAGTGGCTCTCTACAATAAGAAACACCACAAGCATAAATCTAGCCAAACTGCAAGCCTGAGCATCACACATCGACAGAGCAAAGACGTCTGATGGTGTGAAGAACAACCAGGTGACATCTGAGATCAGTGAACTCCCCACCTCTGTCATAACAGCCATCCATTTATATTAATGCTTAAGTCTTGAGATAGGAAGCATAACCGGCTTCTGTCACTGCAGACGTTTAACACGGCAAACTCTCCCTTCAGTCTTCCCTTCAGCAATTCATGCAAACTGTTCGGATCAGGACAAAACGCTGATCAGTTCCTCCTCATCGTTGTCTCCAACACCTTCCGTGGGACTGTCACATGTGGCCATGAGCCCCAGGCCCAGCTCTGCCAGCTCCTCACAGCTCATGTCAGTCGTCACCATGATCTTAGTCTCCAAGCGGTTACACAGAGTCCTGTAGGAGGGTAGCGGGTAACCGATCTCTCTCAGGTACTCGTAGCCTTTGGTGCCGACCGCACAGCGGATCTTTCTGGCCTTCAGGATCGTCTCCGGAGACCAGACAGCGCGGCGGGAACGTTTGGTTAGGGACAGGGCCCGGATCTGGTCCTCGTACAGAAAGTTCTGGAGACCTTTCTCGATCCGGTCGAGCCGATACAGACGCTTCTTCATCTCTTCTGCCTGATAGAGAAAGGGGACAGTGTGTCAGGGCTATTTACTGCAGTCAAATTCCTGATTCCCTAAATATTGCTTTCTCGATGTTTGGATTTTAAAATGATAGTTTAAATGAAACCAACAGATTACTGCACCCATTAATGAAATACCCAACGAGTATAAGCTCATGTTAAGTTAAAATCCCCCCTCATTTACAAACCAGAACAGTGATACATAGACAAAGGCACAAGCAGCTGTCCTACCTCTTTCTGTAACCTTGCAGTGTGCTGCATCTCCTGCTCCAGTTGTTTCTTCAGTAGCTGACACTGTGTGCAGGGATGCTGGTCTTCAGCCGTCCTGTCTGCATCCTCCTCCTCCAGGCCGGGCAGAGGAGTCCGTCTGGCATAGCCATGGTCCCCAAAGTTCAGCTCCTTCTCCACTAGATTCACAAAGAAATATCTCATTTTACTATTCAAGCTTTGGGATCTGGCACATTAGACATGCACTGACCATGACAAAACTTAGATACCTCGCTTGCTCTGTAAAGCCAAATCATGATCACTATCTATCAATATGTCAATACTTCTGTTTGTCAGAAAGTAAAAAAAAATAAGAATTAGTAATAAACATAGCTCTTTGGGACACAAGATGTTCAACGTCTGTGAAATTACATGATAATAACACGACAGAAATAAAGTTTCTGTTTCATTTACAAGAAAACTATGAGATGTTTGGCCAGAAGGGGTCAGAAAAACATCAAAACAAGCGGACAGAAGGTTACGAAATCTAAGAGCAATATTGCTCCTAATGTTACCAAAAGAAAGCCCATCTAGACATCCAGCAGACACAAACATATATACAGTCTATTAATCACAGTTTTTTAATGTCTTTAGTTTGTTCTCTATCAGCTCCTGAGACATACGATGTAGTTTTGTGCAATCCTGCTGAATGCTCACTCATGATGATAGAGCAGTTTTGATTACATCATTTTAACACATAAGTAATACATAACTTAAAAAAAACAACAAAACCTGTGTTTGCTTGCATCTGAATGAATGAATGCTCGATACAAATAGAATCTACTTTTTAATTGGCGTAACAGATAGTGAAATTATTACAAAAGCTGTGATTGTGTTAAATGAAATTTAAAAAAACAATAACAAAAATTACAATAATTATAATAAGTAAACAATGGGACCTCTTTATAAACAGTCTAATTCATGGCTCTGGTGCAGCATCAGTATTGCACAGTCAAGTAAAATAAAGTCACAATAATAAAAAATAAATAAACCCAGGGTCAGATGTGCTGCATAATACATATCCTCATTTGTAGCTTTTGCAATTTTCTAGTTGCACTGTTTCAAATTTTGATTTGAAGTGTATTAATTGTTCAGCGGTATTTGTGCACAGAAATACCTGGTTCAGGTTTCAGCGGTATCAGGATGTACGAGGTGGTGACTGCAGGGTACGGAGGGTCTCCAACGTTGAACAGAGTCGGGATGGCATTGGGTTTCAGCTTCTTTCCACCAGCTGGAGATCTGGCTATTTCCTCAAACTGGCTCTGCTCAAAATGATCCTTGGGGAAACAAGAGAGGTGCAGAGAAGACACACATTTTATCCAACTAATGACACACCGAAATACAAGAAACACTGAACATGCACACTGTGGCTGCAAAGCTTAGATGTGTTAGTTAAAACCCAGAGGATAACATACTACTAAGTAATAAGTAAATAACAGTCTTGATTTTGTTTTTAAAGCGTTGTTCTAATCTATTAACTTTGGTTCTGCTTTATTGAACTGGTGCATCATCTCCACACGAGTCCCTTCATAAACTAGTGTTAAAATACACAACATGCTAGTCTGCAGTGCACTTACTTGACACAGTCTGGAGTGAGGAGTTGGTTCAAAGTCACGTCGACAGTTCACCACCCATTTCTTCTTCCGTACGGGGTCTTTGGGAAACCTGAACAGCTGTTTTCCGATGCTGGTTGAGTTGGAGCAGTTCGGAGCGGAGCAGCCACCCATCGCTCCCAGTTCGAGCACAGCTAAATTTGGCAAAACGTTAAGTTAGCTTGGCTGGCAAAGAAGCGCAGCGTTTAATTTTTTTTTTTACTTTAAGCTCACAACTTGCACGGTTTAAAAAATAAAAGAAAACGAAGAAAAAGTTCCTATCACGTCAAATGTTAACTCGTGGAAACCGGAGTGTGGTCCTGTAGATTTTTTACATGCAATTTCACGGAAACAATTTAAAACACTTTCTCAGGGGTAAAATATTTCTGACTTTGTTTGAGCCAAAATGGCGCACTTCTCCTCCGTGGTCGGGTACAGTGACGTATCACTTATAGTGGGCTATTGGAAATGCCTGTTTTAAATAGCACTTAAAAACAAAACAGTCAATCACAGACGGTAAAATAAAATCTAAATCCTATATTTCTTTAATGATTTTGTAATAAATATTAGTTCAGAATATTTTCTCAGAGCACTTAGCGAGAAACACTTTTCTTTGCACTCGTGCATCAGTCAAATGACTCTGGATATTTTGCGACAGGACCCAAAGAAGCACGTTGAAATGTTTACGGTTGAAGCGCTGCTAGCTGGTGATTCAATTAAGTGTTCAGCAACCAACAACTGTTAAATTGTTGACTTTTTAAACGTGAATTTAACAGAGACGCTACAAGAAAGGACTTTTCATAGAACAGCTGACAATGAAAACTTTTGCAAAGTCGTGAGCTTAGCTAGCTAACGTATTCCAGGTAGCTGTCGGTAACTTTGCAGGAAACTTTTCCGCCTCGACGTTAAAACAAACATGGCAGGTTCATTGGTTGTTCCTGTCATTGATGTCCAGAATGACAATTTTAAAGAGCTCTGGCCTGCTATGGTTGTAGCCATTAAAACGTCGTCCTTCGTTGCACTGGACACGGTAAGTCCAAGTATCTGTGTGTGTCCGTTTACCAAGCATTGGCATGGCTTAAACTCACTTATCCAGTTGTTTCGTGTACGATTTATAATTGCTGTAGCAGACTCACACTTCTGTGTTGTTGTAGGAGCTGAGTGGTCTTGGAAACAGGAAGTCCTTGCTGGCTGAGTGAGTAAAAACATTTGTGGTCCTCTGCCTCGTTCTTGAAGTATTAACATGTTGTTGGGCAAGAAACCATGCGTCAGTAATGCAGGCTTTTGAGTGAGTTGCATGAATTCTGTCATTGCTTTAGTCAGTGCCCTGACACTTGCTGTCATGTTTCAGATCCATAGAGGACAGATATAAAGCTATATGTCATGCTGCTCGCTCTCGCTCCATCCTCTCTTTGGGCATCGCCTGCTTCAAGAAACTGGACCACAAGGTGAAACAAAATGATGCCTTTAACAGTTGCTTAAAACTTGATGAGAGAATTGCTCATTGCATCTGTTATGTTTGTGAATTGTATCTTCTGCCTTCAGCTCCTTTTTTTTCTTCTTTGTTTCCCTTCCACAGGTTACAGACACATACCTGGTCCAGGTGTACAACCTCACCCTGCTGTGTTCAGAGGAGTATATCATCGAGCCCCAGTCAGTCCAATTCCTGGTGCAGCACGGATTTGACTTTAACAAGCAGTATGGCCACGGAATCCCTTACTGCAAGGGCAATAATAAGGTGATTACAACATTAGTTAAATGTTGTGGAGGGATTAGAAACAGGCAGTACATGCAAGAAACACCTTAAACATTTTGTAACAAAAGGAATTTTGCGTGGGTTTGTATGTTTGCTCATTCAAATATGTTGAAACAGTTCACAGTTTTTGTGGGACGTGCTTATTTTTTTAAAACACATCAGCTCAGTACATTACAAGGGATGATTGACCTTTCTCCGATGTTTGTTTTCTAATTGTCCTTTCTCCTTCTTTCGTCTTTCCAAGGGAGGATCAGATGACCGCGGTGTCCACATCCGAGCGTTGTTCACTGAACTGCTGCGAGCCAGAAAGCCTCTGGTGCTACACAACGGTCTCATTGACATGGCCTTTCTCTACCAGGTACAGAGCACTATTCTTTTTCTTTCTGTTTCATTTCTAAGATGTTAAATCTGTTTCTCAGATATTCTCACCAGATTTTTTCAACATTAGATAAATAAGAAATACTGACTAAAAAGTTAAAAACAGCGACATTTTATAATTTGGTGATATCAAGTTATCGAGCGAGGTAAAGACAGTTTATTATCAAACCATCATGAAATGTTGATGCTTCTATCTATCAAGTGTAAAGCATCAACTGTAATCTAAACAAGTGATGCATGGTGTCAGAAATTGTCATAACATGATTAAATAATGAGAGTAACTTTTGAAGATCGAGCCTTTCTCACAGCATACTGCATGCTTTTTAATGGCTGTTTTTCTTACAGTGAAATTGATTTAGTCTTTGTCTTCCAGTGTTTTTATGCTCACCTGCCCGAGCGCTTGGCCACCTTCACGGCCGACCTGTCTGAGATGTTTCCTGCTGGCATTTATGACACCAAGTATGTCACTGAGTTTGAGCTTCGACTCACTGCCTCCTATCTGGAGTACGCCTACAAGAAATGGTGAGTAATGGTAGTTAGTTTATTTTCATTTGTCAAAAGGACAAGAGCTGACTGTAAAGTGCTAGTAAACTCAGAGATCCTTTTTCACATCTTCATTCTGAACAAGCCTTCCAAAAGCTACATAAAATTACCAGTGACATAATTTATGTCCGACGAATGTAATAATGGTCTGTATATAAGAAAGTAGAACAAAGTATTTTAATCTGCAATCTCTTAGACTTGAAAATGCCGTCAGAATAATGGAAAGAGTTCATGTCTGAAATGCGCTGTAATAGGCCTTCATGGTGATAGATATTGTTGGTTAGCTACAGACTGGCCTCGCAGCTCTTTTCTGACCATAATGTTATAATTTTGGAGTGCTTTTATGTATTTGAATACACTAGTTGTGTGTACATGCATTTGCACACTCAAATAACGTGCTTTGAATTTGATTAAACTCAATTGTGTCTACAGAATGTCGACAACAATGCACATTCAGAGCAGGAAAGTGTTGGAGGGGGCTGAAGTGTAGCGCTGAACAGACGGGCTGCTGTGTCCATTATATTGTCAGGATACCTCGGAGGACTTTTATATTTATATAATTGCTTTACGAAAAGGGGGAGCTGTGACAATGTTTTTATTAGACATCATGTTCCTCTCTGTTCACTCATATCTTCTCCTCTTCCAGTAAGCTGGATAACAGTCGCAGTTTGACCTCCGGAGCACCTGGACCTCATGTTCACATCGAGTTCTGTCAGTACGCTGGTCACATGTCCACCTATGTGGACTATAAAGAGTGTCCAGATGTGGCCTCCTCTGAGGGACAGACTGACATCTGCCAGCGCTTCTCTGTAAGTCTTTTATTGCTTTCCTTTTCACCTCGACTAATAGTTCAGTTTCACTCAAAGTTTCCTAAAATACACTAAACAGTCCCTTTTATTGCCTTGTGGATTTCTCCACATTAGAATAGAGACTCAATAGTTAGCAATTCTGTGTAAATGCTTTTGTTAATGCTTTAATTCATTTGTTTGCTTGTTTGTTTGTCTAACAGGCATTTGGTTGGTGTCCGAATGGTTCTCAGTGTCCGTTATCCCATGACACAGACCTTATCATTCTTCAGGACGAGAAAGGAAAGGAGGACAAGAGGAAAAAGAGGAGGAGACAGAAAAATAAGAGGAGTGGAGGAGGAGACGTAGCAGAGGGCTCCTCCATCTTTGACGGCGCCCCCCAAAATAAGATACCCCATATGGAAGTGGATCAAGATGCAACACCAGGTGAACAACAAGAGGAAACTGCTGAGTCTTGTCCTGACAGTGTGGCGGTAATGGATCGTGATGGAAACACCCAACAGAATGACGGAGAAAGCATCAAAGTTGACAGCGAGGGGAATGGAATGTGTAAAGACAACACGGACTCCAGAAACTCTGCACCAACTGATGACGGCACAAAAACAGACAATGGTGTAGAAAGCAGTACAGTAGGAGCAGGGAGAGAAAAGTCTACTGATGCTCAGAAGAAGAAGGTTGACACAGGAACACATCGGGCAGGATTTGACGCCTTTATGACCGGATACATCTTTGCGTGCTCGTGTACGCTCACCAAGAAGGAAGAGGTTAAAGGAGAAGCAGAGGAGAAGGAGCACAAGGAGGAGGAGCAGTCGTGGCTTCCGACCTGCCTTAATAAAGTCTATCTCAGCGGCAAGGCAGCTCCTCTGAACGTGGTTAAAAGCACCTTCTCCAAGTCATCGAAGGCCCACATGCAGAAGATGGAGATGGTGTGGAGTGGAAGAATGTAACGTGGACACAGAAGAGCAGCAGGTTCATAATTTAATCGTTCACCATGCTAACAACATGGCTGCCTGGTGTAGACTAAACAACTTTGAGATGGATTGCTGTGAAAAGTTGGCATTGACGTCACCAGCGAATAAATCCAAATGACTGGTGGTCAGCTGATTTCTTAAGGTTGACATTTGCGTTTTTAGTGAAATATCTTGGTTGGATTTCTGTAAATTTATGTGCGTGTGCATCAGGAGTACTTGTAATAACTTGGGTTGTTCCCAGACTTCTTATCTTTTGTTCATTTCTTTGGTTAAAGACCAAATACCTGCAGAGCTAATGATCTTCACATCAGCCTCTCCTTTAGTTTGTGTTAATTCAATGTTAGCCTGCTAACTGCTAGCCTAAGATGCCAGACATTCAATGCTAACCTTTACACAGTCATTGTGAACATTTTAGCATATAGCTGAAAACACTGCAGTGGTACATGCTAGCAGAGTGAACAGCATGATTTTCTGTTGACATTTTTGGAATACAGTAATTGTCAGAGTCGTATTTTGAGTAAAAGACTCAACATTTGATGGTTGGCCGTTTTGGAATGTGAGAATATATTAGTTTTGTAGCACCAACAGAATAGCAACCCTGATATTTTGGGCATTTCTTGGACATCTGATAATGCCACTCTGTGCCCCGTATAATGGGCATTTTTTCAGTTTTCAGTTTATTTGACTGAATGACTCATTTTGGTTCATTAGGAAAAAATGAAAACACACAGTCAGTCTGACATTGTTGACAATATGGGGGGAAATATGGCACCATGAGTTACATCTTTGTTGGTTGTATTCTTATTGTCATGTCATTTATACAGCAGTCCTCTGAGGAGTTTTGACCTCATTAATGAAACTGTAAAAACAGACAAAAGGAATAACACTGGCATCAGTGACTGAATTGAAATTCAGCAATAAATTGCAATGCAGAGGCACTTCTTTTCATTTACTTAGCTGTTGTTACACTGGAAGCGAGGTGACTTTTGATATTCATTCATACATTCTAGATTTTTTTATGGTCCTGTCTCTTTTGGAAAGTAAACAAAAAGCTCTTCAACAATGATTCTTTTGTCTTTATTTCATCATCTAAGTTTGTCTGAAAGAATAATATGATCAAACGGTCAAGAAGTATAATTGTATTTATCCATAACAGTAAGAGTGACACAACACACAGTGTGAATGGAATGTGTGACGTATAATAACTGAAGATAGAACTTTATTAATCACAAAGGAAATTGTTGTGTCAGAAAAATAATACATAACATAAATGCAGTGCCTAATACAAAAACCATAAGATGCTTTCATGATACATTGCTAAAAATAAAACTAACTAACTTTTACATGGATATACATAGACAAACTTTTCTTTACTGATAATATGAGAATCATGTGGAGAGTTATTCATGAATTTGAACAACCTCTTGTAATGCGTGAAAATGCAATTGATCAGGAATCTGTTAGATTTCTTATCAATTATGTATACTGTCATCTAAAGTAGTAAAATAATGGCAAACCAGCACTAAATAAATTAACATTAACGAGTCTAAAAGTCTAATTAGCTGGCTTTATGTAAAGCTAACAATGTCACACTATAATAACTTGCTCTGGCTACAGGTAGCTAGCTGGAATTATTTGCTACTCTGAACATCCATTGAGTTGGCAATATGTAAAGATGTTTTATATAAATGATAATAAAGTAAACCATGATCTAATACTGTAACATTATAATTAACCAGCAGTAAAAATGTATTGTTGGTCTGAATGGCTAACTAGCGACTACGACTTTATGTTAAGCTAACAGTGGTATGCTATATTAGCGGTCTAGCTGGCCTGTTGATATTACCATTAGTTTCATGGAATTAATTAAAAATAGCAATGATAATAAAGCAAACTTTTGTCCAACAGGCCCCTCAATTGTAAATTAATTTGCAATAACAGTTTGAAAAGAATATTCAAAAATAATTTAGGAATATAAATATATTATTGGATTTTTAATATCGTTATTGGATATTGGGTTAGGGAGACTAGCGAGATTAAAACCCCTTGTTGTTGTTTTTTTATTCCAAAAAAATATTATTATTATTATCTTATTTATTTATTTATTTATTTATTTATTTATTTAAAGGTGAGGTATTTTCAACATGCACCGGAACGCCATTGCATTAACAGAAGAAAAAGAAGAAGAAGAAAATGGCGGCAGTTCACCACAGGGGGGCGGTAATGCTTCACCTGCTCGACGTTGTTCCGCCACACAAAGAAGAAGTCCTCGGGTCGGGAGGAAGCACCGTGTAGTGGTGCTCCTGCTCCTGACAGTCCACGGACCTGTACGTTGTGAGCCGTTTGTTTCATCCAGGCTTTGCCCTCCCTGATGCAGCGCCCTGTAGCCCGGTCATCATCACTGTTCACAGCGGCCAAATGAGTCAGACAGCACCGTGGGAGAAACACAGCCGATAGCGTTGAGAAATGGCAGATGAAATTGACTACAATATCGTGTTTCCAGATGCGGGGACATCGGGTGAGCCTTATTTCATTGTGCTGTATGTTCATGAGTCAGTTAGCTTAGCCTGCATGCTAACTCTACCTTACAGGCACGCAGAGAAAATGTCATTGTGCTAACTGTTAGCTTCGCTGCTTGAGTTAGTTTACTGAGCTAGATGTGGCTACTGCGCTAACGCCTGTTGTGTCGTGTGCCTTGGTTTACAGAGAGACACTGGCAGGGGACAAAGGAGCCAGTTGTGATACTGTTGGGCTGGGCTGGTTGCAAAGACAAGCACCTCTCCAAATACAGCTCCATCTACAATGAGCAGGTTCAAACCACACATTGCATAAGCTGCTCAGCTTCCCGTGTTGTCTCTTTAAGAGCACTGTAGTACTACAAATGCTATTCACACCTTTACTCATTCATTTTTTCCCCCCTTTTCTTCACTTTTAGGGGTGTGTCACGATCCGCTACACAGCTCCTTTAAAGACAGTCTTCATCTCGGAGTCCTTTGGCTACAAGGAGCTGAGCAGCAAAGCCCTCAAGTTGGTGGAGATCCTCTATGACTACGAGGTGGAGAACAGTCCTATTTTCTTTCACATTTTCAGTAACGGTGGCTTCATGCTGTACCGTTACATCGTCGAGCTGCTGCACAATGACAAACAGTTCAGTTCACTGTATGTGATTGGTGCTGTGGTGGACAGCGGCCCCGGTAGTGCAAATGTCCGCGGGGCCCTGCGTGCTCTGACAGCCACGATAGGACCAAAAATAAGTCCTGTTTTGAGGTATGTCCTAATGGCGCTTTTTGCAGTGACTGTTATCCTCCTGAGAGTTGTGTTGTACCCCTTGACCAAGTACATCCACAAGAACCACTACGACGCAGTGCAGGACCGGCCGCCCTCCTGGCCTCATTTCTTCCTGTACTCCAAAGCTGACCAGATTATCAGACACGGGGACATCGAGTTCTTCATGGAAACCTTGAAGCAGAAAGTCGTCCCTGTGGACAGTTTTGATTTTGTTTCCAGTCCCCATGTCGGCCACTTCCGGGATTTTCCTGAGCAGTACGCTCTCAAGTGCCGTGAATTCCTGGTTTCCTGCATGAAGGCCTCGGAAGGGACCGAAATTAAAAAGAGACAACGTGTTCAAACTCAGTGAAACTTGAAGAGGAGCTCACAAAATTTTGCTAAGAAGTCATTCCCAGATGCCGAAGAGAAGGTGACGGAGTTTTTTTCTGCAGAAGTCTGAAAAAGCAGCGATAAAATGGGGAAATATCTAATTTCTGCACTGAGCGAGTTCAAGATCTTGGTGATGTTTCCTCACCGCTTCATGGGAAAGTTCCACTGCTGTGGTTGAGACGTACTGCACTTAATCTGTATGTCTTTAAAACCCGCCATACGAAACACTGGAAGTCACATCCTGCTGAAGGTTGTGATTTAAAGGCTTAACCCTGCCTACTCAAATGTTTTTACAAGTTCTATACCACATGAAACAACAATATTTAACAATTACAATACAAACGGTTGCTATACACTGAAAAATTGACAGTTAAATCCTTTAGGATAATTTAAATAGTATTTAATATTGCTGTGAAATGTGATGCATTGTAGACTAGTAGTAGTGATTCTAAACCTGAGGAGGCTGGTTAATCTGTATCTTCTATGTGTGAAATTTAATATATATTTATGGTTTTAATCCCATGATTTGCTATTAAAATACCAGGGATCTTATAAGGAAGGCAGCTGTCAAATATTTAAAGAATTGTAATGTTTTCGTCTCCATTAGAGGTCTGAGAATGTTGCCTTACAAAGTAAATTCCTTGTTTTCTGTCCAAAAATTGTAGAATGCTCAGCCCTGATATGTAATACAAAATCGATGTAGTTCAAAAAACAAAGTGGATTGACGATGAATGTATATGTCCAGCACAACTAATGTTCTTTTTAACTGATGTGCCTTCAATAAACCAGAATGCTCGTAGTGAAGTACGTCAGCTGCGTTATTTTGTCAGATGCTTGTTCATTGTCGGCGTATAAATTCCAGATTGTTGATATCATATCACTGAAGTCCTTTAACCTCCAGATAAAGGAAACCTAGTTGTCATAATCATGATGTCTGGTGTGTCCTAAACCACTGCGCTGTCACAGTGTGGGTTTGTAGATCTGTTGTGTACGTGACAGTAAAAAAAAAAAAACAATCCTGATAATTTGACCTTTGTTCATCCGTTTTGTTGTGGTTACACCACACACTGTGGCAGGACTTGGCATCTGTGGCCTTGCAACACAGACAATCATTGTTTAATGGGAGTCTTGCTTCATTTAGCCCTTGTTCACACTACTTTGAATATTTTGCAACATTTTCCTTTTGCTCTGTCATCCACATAAATGGGTTTTAGGTCATTAGAGCTGAGGTTTCTTTTTAAATGCATTCCAAAGTGCAGATTTAAGAAAGACTCATTTTTGCATGTGGATGTGTACTAAAAGATTTTCTGAAACGTCACACCTAAATTCTTGTCCATTGTTGCTTTGTGTGAGCATGAGCTTCAAACTACAACAATGGAAGCTGCATATCAGTTGCTTTACGTTTGGGAATCACCAGCAGTTACAGGTTTACATTTACATTGTCACACGGCTTCACTGGCGTACAAAAGCTTCTCCGTCTGCTGTGCTCAGTGTTACCTGGTCCATGGCATTCACAGTTTAAAGTCCACAGTAACTACAAAACAATAGACTATTCCTCTCTGGTATTTGATAGATCACTGATGTGGACTGGCCCGATGTGCTTGGTAGTGTTGTCATATTTGAGTGCTTGTGGGGTATTTTGGGCAATGATGGCTCTGTGGATACGTTCTATCTTGTTTCCTTCTAGAAAAACCTCCATATTAGTGTAGACAAGGCTTTAATAAATGTGTGAGCTCGTCTTCAGAATTATTTTAAGTCATAGTGGCCCAAAACAAGATAAAAAGCAAACACTGGTGAAAATATATATATATATAATATGTCACCAAGGTCAACAGCTCAGTCAGTCATTGAATATGCAACTGAGTGATACTGAAACCTTGCATAAAAGATGGATTCTACACCAAGTGAAATGCAGTTCAAATTGCAGTAGGATTCTGTTTTTTCACTTGCTTTATCATGGCGCCCCCTACTGGTCCAATGGTCATAACATTTCCATTTGTAGTCCTTCATAAAGGCTGGGCCGAGGAGCTTAAATAGCCCGTACTGCAAAATGAGACCAAATGTAGGAGGACATATTATTTTTTTCACATACTACTTTGACCATACCATGTATTGGGACTTTTGGTCTTTATGTCAGTATGAGTGTAGGGACACACCGCGAGTCTCTACCTACTTTTCATTCCTCAGTTTGTACCTCCTTATTCCTTCTCTTGTCTCTCCTCCTTGCATCCTCGTCCCTCCCACCAGAGATGCAAGAGCTGCTGTTTTAAAACATCAGTTAAATACGATGTGGCACATGCAGTTTATACTGAGATACACCAGGGCGTTTTCACTCATAGTTCCTCCAAAATGCATTTCAGGAACTCAAGTATCCTTTAAATGACACACTGACATCAACTTCTGGGTCACAGGCAGAAGGACAGAGGAGACAAGACAAGAGTTAAAAATACAGAAATAAGATGAGCCTTCTGTCTGTCACCTTTAAGTTGATGAATCATGTTTTTATTGTTCATGTACGCTGTGGCATTGAACAAAATGTAGTCAAAACAAATGTACATCAGCTATTATTGTTATCATTATTATTATTATTGTTAATTTATGGCAACCCTGTCTTTCACTAGTTCAGGGAGATGTTGTGTTTTATTTATTTTGGACATGTCACAGTATCATGAAAAAAAACAAATCCATAGGATTAAGGACCAAATCCGAAACTTCAAATAATGTCTGAAAACAAGTAGGATGAAGTTAAACCTATTAGCTCCTTCATGTCTGTACATCTCATATCTTACTGTTTCCTGTTTCCATCAAACCTCTTTAGAAACCCAAAGAACACATCGACTGTTCCACATCATTGTATTTGTTTGTTTTAAAGTTGCCTCACAACCAGAAGGTCGTCGGTTCACGTCCCGGTGAGGACACCCAGGATCTTTCTGTGTGAAGTTTGCATGTTCTCCCCGTGCAGCGTGGGTTCTCTCCGGGTTCTCCGGCTTCCTTCCACACAGTCCAAAAACATGTTGAGGTTAATTGATGATTCTAAATTGTCCGTAGGTGTGAATGTGAGTGTGCTTGGTTGTCTGTCTCTAAGTGTGGCCCTGTGATAGACTGGTGACCTGTCCAGGGTGTCCCCTGCCTTCACCCTGAGTCAGCTGGGATAGACTCCGCTGTATGTTCTGAGGGAGTAACTCACTGTTTGCTTTAAATATTATTTGTGCAGTTATAAATGGAACTAAATCCATGCATTTCAAAGTATTAGTGTGCTCATTATATCCCACAATATGTCCTATCCTTGTAGCTTTTTTTTTTTTGTGTTGGATGTTTATGTGCTTGCTGAAGAACAGGCCTCACCGCTTTAACAATCTTCATCACCGGAGAGCTCACTGAAGGGAGGCCGTCAGATAAAATCCAGCCGTTTCACCTGCACTGTCATCATGAGACGTCAGGGACTGTTTGAAGAGCGGGACTCTGAAATGGTCCAGCAGGGATGCTTAGTGAAATGTCTAAAACATGTCAGATTTGACATTTGGAAGAGCGACTGGTTGGCATTTGTCTCCGCGCCAGCCCTGGTCCTGGCACTTCATGTATCATGAAGAGCTGCTTGAAGGAAAGAGAGAAAGAGGAAAGTTTACATACCGGTGCAGACAGATGAACATCGCTTCCTGCAGTTTTACGTGAGACGGGCCGCTCTGATCCTGCCAGTGGTCGATCAGTGATGATAATAATGCTATATATACTAGTATAACACATTTACAAAGTTCTTTAACAGACAGAGAAGGTGAATAATGCAAGAAGCTGGACAGTAAGGCCAAAGAAAAAGAGGGGAACTTATGGCGAAAATGAGGTAAAGTTACAACAAAATTACAAAACACAATATGTCAATATTAAGAAAGACAAATAACAAAAGCAATAAAAAGCTTAATGAACAATAAATTATGACAGTATACATAGGAAAGTCAACAAAGAGGATTTTAGCTGAAGGAGAGTGTGGGAATTTTGGTTCATGCCAGAAAAGAAGGAGTGTAGTTCTGCCTTGAGAATAAAAGTGTGTGAATGACTTTTATTCTCGAGGTGCGGTTATCTTTGCTCTTTCACCAATTCACACCAACACCAGTTACAGACTCACTGACATCTGACATTGACGTGGCTTTTAAACGACTAAAACACAGCTTTTCCCCCATGACTGTGAAGAGACTGCTGCAGGAACCATGACACTCCCAGTTTACAGACGCATTCTAACACATGCTCTTTAGCACTTTTAATAGAGTATTTATTTTATATTTTATTGCTATTTTATTATTTGCATCACCTTTTAACTGCTTTTCTTAGACTGTGACCTTATTAGCTGCTGCAAAGATGATACCAAACTAAATTTTGTTGCATCTCTTGTACAAGGACAGTAAAGCTTCTTCTTCTTCTTCTTTATTTGGAAAAACAAAGGAGAAGAATTCAACCACAACAGCAGCATCTCCACAGTCACACATGGTGGTTTATAACAAGACAGTGATCTGAAACATACAGTCAAAGTGAACATTTTGGAGCCCAGACCTGAATCATTTTGAGTATCTGTGGAGGAACTGAAGACCAGAGTGATGACAAAGAAGAATCCAACATTAATGACCTGGAGATCATCACCAATGGAGGAGTGGAACAAAATCCCACCGGAGACAGAAGAAAGCTTGTTAGCAACTACAACAACTGTTGATGTGGTGGAAAATAGAGACGCTGACATTGATTCCTGAGAAAAACATGGAAATACTTAAAAATGTACCATTAATATCTCCCTTACTGTCTATGGCGTATTCATTTTAAGCCAGAAGAGACCTATTAGTCAACCAAAACATCACTATAAATCAAATGCTGGCGTGAATAGTTTCGGGGTGACAGTGAATAAGAAGTGAACCTCAAAATATCCATGAAGCAAATATAAATACCTGCATGACTTTTCATTCATACAGGGGCAGTAATATTCCTGAAGAGGGCAGCATTGACTCACAGTTCTGACTGAGGCCTCGGCCGAGACTCAAGAAGGCTGCGATCATGTTGAGCAGCGGATGTTTTATTCTGGGTTCCTGACGGATAAACGCTGTTACCATAAGAACCTTTCTGTCCACATTTGGACTTTTCTGAACCCGAAAAAAATTGTAAAAAGTTGAAAGTTGTGCACTAAGAAACCACTTCTAAATGCAAACAGTGATGTTGGTTTTCTTAAAATCCTGCCTGCTTGTTATTATCTTGTAATTTTCTAACATTCCAGGTGAAACTGAAGGGAGAGAAAACAAATCTTTCAAATTAAAAGTCTCTTCAGTGAAGGCCAGAAAAGAGAGGAGCTGGGAATGAGTGGATGAGAGCAAAAAAACGTCATAACACATCCTCCCCCCTTTTCAGAAACGCACTGAAAGAAGAAATTACCCCATGGAAGTTAATGAAGTCTCACAAGTTGATGAGGGGAAAATTGCGGCGAAGAGGGGTCAGCGCTTTCTCTTTAGCCTTTCCTTCTTCCGCGGAAAATGGCTGCGGTCAAGATCCATACTTTTAGAGGACGCCGAGCACTCCAACGCAGAGATGGAGTGAGAGAGATGAGGGGGGGGAGAGCACCAAGATTAATGGTATTAAGTGGTAGCACTTGGCAATGCGGTAACATATCGTCTATGTTCTCTATTCCGGGCTGATAGTTTCACAGACCTTGGCTTTACACATTGACTTTTAGCTGTGATTTACAGGATTCAAATAATCCGGGTGGCTTTTCATCATCACAGGACCCCTCCAGCATCTTGGCTACGGAGTCACATCAGTGCCAGTTTTATCTGGAAAATAC